GGGGTTTTTTTTTTTTTTTTTTTACAATGTTACTATTGTCTTTATTGATGCTTATTTTTTAAATGTGAGTCTGTGATACCCTTACTGTTCTTCTTCTTCGGTTCTTTTCCTGTTCGTTGATTTTATAGACTTTTTTTTTGCAAATGGGCTCACCAGCTTTTTTGGGGAAAATTGTGGCCTTTTGGAATTCCTCAAAGGAGTGCACATCCTATGGTTGTGTTGTTGCTGTCGATAGTGATGTAGTACTTGTTGTTGAGTACACTGGAAGTGTAGAAGACTCTTCGCTTGACAGTAAACTGCGTTGTATTGCTAAGGAAGATGTTATTATTCAGAGTCTCCAGTCAAAACTTAGAAGTTTACGTGAAAAGTATGAATTTATGACATCTAATGGTTCCACTACTATTTTAGAGCACACGGTACTTCAGTGGGCAAAGAAACGCTTAAGAGGGATTGAGAGAAAATATTGGCTTAACCTTAGTGAATCTACCCTATTATCTGAATCGTTAAAATTGGTCTGTAATTGTGTCACAACTATTGTACAAAATTCGGATGTTATTGAAGATTGGAAAATGATTCAGGGTGTCATTTCAGAGGCTTCTTTTGTAGAGATATTATGCGGTCTAGATGAGAGGCCTTTAAGGAAAGATCTATATCAAGCTATATTAGTTAAGTATGTTTCACATCCTTTGTTTTCACTTGAGAATTGTATGCGAGAGTCCCGCGTATTAGGGGCTCTACAAAAATGGATTACAGCTTACCTTGACTATCAGAGGTTTCGTTTTTTTTCTACAGACGCCAGTGAAATAAAACACCAAATAGATACTTGTGTAAATAAAATTCGAAAAGCTGAGATGCGACGTCAGGAACTTAAGAATGATACTCAATTAATTTTGTCTGGCTGTCTTTTTAGTAGAACAGAAAGAGTGCAAAGTGTTCCTCTCTCCGCGTGTCTTTGTATTTTCGATAGAAATATAATAAATGAACAAGCTTTTTACTCTATTTCTGGAACAAGCTGTAACTTTGTTTCTTGTAATATTGTTGAAAAAAGTAATACATCATTTCATTACGGATCTGACATCTCTAAAAGTTCATTAGTTACGTCTGATGGAGCGATGTTGAAAGACGTTGAAAAAAGAATTTTGTTTCTTAATCAGTGTTGTGAAAAGCAGGAAAAAGAATTGGAACATTTGAAGTTACAGAACGACTTACTTCAACGTGAAGTTGATAGACTAAACGCTCAGATTTTAACTTCTAGTAAGTTTCAATTGGAATCTCAAAATTTAGAACTTGAAATAAACTCACTCAGAGCTGAAAAAAATATACTGCTACAAGATGTGTCAAAATTAAAGAAAGGTAATGAGGAATATGAAGAACGACGTCAACAACAAGAAATGATACAAAAAAAAGAATTAACGGGTGTACTGGCGTTATTTAAAAACCTTGAAGAGGTACACCAATCAATTATAGAGGAATACGAAAAACTTTTTACCATTCATACCTGTACAACTGAATTAGTTCGGAAACAAACATTGGCCTTAGAAGAGAAACAAGAAGAAATTGACATACTACGGAAGTATCTGGGTATGGCTCGTCGAGAACTTCTTTTGACCAAGTCTATAGTATTTCTCTTTCGCCACGCACACATGAAAGAGAAACTCAACTCCACGATCTTAAATGACAGGGGGTTGAATATATCTTGTGTTGCTACAAACGACGGTAATGCGTCGAAGTAATGAACTAAAAGTTTTTTTTTTTGCATTTGTGTGGGTTTGCTATATTTTGGCACAAATATAAATCTTTTTTATGTTTTTTTTTTCCTTTTCCTTTTTTTTTTTTTTTTTGTAAAACGTGATCCATAAACTTAATGACAAAAAAAAAACCTGTTTATCTTAAATTACATTGATATTACTTGTTTGCATTTTTTTTTTTTTTTTCTTCTTTGCCTCTCTTATTTCTCTTTTATACTTTCTTACTAAAAGGACATTACTAGTTTGGGCGAGGGACTGTGATAAATAACTGGGGATAAAAATATACTTACTTTTTCTTTTTGCTATTACTTTCAGGAGTTACTTTGCTACAAAATAAGTGGGATCATAAAGAAAGGGAGACGAGAAATAAAGAAGTTGGTAAAAAAAAAAAAAAAAATTTTTTTTTCTTTTTGCAGACTATTTACGAAAAGTAAAAAAAAAAAAAAAAAGAAAAAAAAAAACGTACAAAGTTTAAAGGATGCTTACAGAAAGAATTCCCGAATTCAGTGTTGCATCCCTCCTTCAGTTTAGTGATAATATACTTTCAGTGGGACAATCAGTTGCTTTTGATACATTAAGGGGGAATGCATGGTGTTACGAAACAGGGAATGTAACGTTTCTTTCAGACTATGTGGTCCGTGTCCTTGTTTCACAAGATGTGTCTGTGATACACAAAAAACAAGAAGTGGAGTTGCTGAAAAAACGTCTACATGAACTCTGTGAAACACTTCAACGCGGAAGGGCTGCAGTTGAGGAAGAGCGTATTGCTTTACTACAAAAAAAAATTGACGACGCGCGACAGTTGGTGAAGGGAATTGAAGCACATTGCCTGAAAGAAATTCAATCATACACAGTTCCACCACCCATCATTAAACAGATATTAGATGATATCATAAGAATTATTGGAATTAACAACAAACATCATACATGGCGCAATACACAAGCAGCCATAAAACAGCCTGGGTTTATTGCCCTTGTTTCGGAATTTGATTCTTCTAAGTTAACATCGAAGCGACGAAAAGAAATTCTTCAGTATTGTGTAAGTGGAAATATTTCGAAAGCAAATGTTTACAGGGCTTCACAAGCAGCTGGAATTCTGCACGAATGGGTACTAGCACAGCTTTCATATTTAGAGGCGGAAGGGTCTACCTTGCATGGGATTAGCTCACACAGTCATAATAAGCTCGAATCTATTATCCACGAGATTCAAGAAGTGGAGAGCCGCATAAGGACCCTAAAGCAATCTATTAAAAGGAGTTCGTCTGTTGTGTCACCAGAAGAAAGAACAATACTTCGATCTTCCATAATAACAACACTTCCAGCAAATCAACCCATAGCGAATATTGCTGCGTTACACCGACCAGAACTGCTCGCGTACCTTGCATCACACTCAGATGAATACAAAAATCAATTGCACATGATAAATTTAGGTTCAACACCCACTCCAGAAAACGAAGTTCAAGAAAAATGTAGCAGTCTTAAACAGGAGTATGAAAAGCCCAAGTCCGAAAAAGATAATGAAAGAGAAAAGTCAAATAATTATATTGGTGAACTGGAGACAGAGATGCAAGAAATTCAGTCAGACAAAGCAAATGTCCCAGAGAAATTTGATGATTCTAAAAGAGAGAAAGAACCCATCAAAGATAGCCTCCAATGTACTCAATTAGGTTTAGGTGAACAACAAGCACAAAGTAATAAAAGTATACAAGAAATTTATCAAATACTATCTGATACCAATAAGGAAAAGGAAAGAATTGCTCTCCCTCGGAACATTACAGAAATAAAAGATCAAAACGAGTCTAATCTACAGCGTGAAGTAGAAGAACTTAGGTTTAAAGTGAACGATCAAGAAGCCAATCTTCTGAGACTACAATGTGACAGAGATAAATTAAATTTGCAGCTTAAAGAAAAAGAAGAAGAAAATCTTATATTACAAGCTGCTCTTGATAAAGCCACAGAGGGGGAAAACGATAAGCAACGAGAGCTTAATTATGTGTTGCACAAAATGCACGATCTTGAAAAGAAACTGGGTACTGAAAAAACTACAAATACGATAGAAGATAGTCCGAAATCCCAAGACCAACAACTCCTAGAATCTGGTGAAAAATACTCAGAAAAAACCCCATTACACAGTTTGAATTTGGATTGTGGACACCATACGTTGTACCAGGCGGAGAAAAGTACAGCCTCAGAAAAAACAATAAAGGAATTTACCCCACAAGAAAAAGAACAAGAAAAACTTTTTCTACAAAAACAAACAGAGAATCCTGTTCAGCAGAAATTGCTAGAACAACAATTATACCAAATTCAGCAAGAACAAAAACAACTTGAGGAAGAACATCGAAACTCTGCAACATTAACTAGGGAAAAGGTTAAACAACCACGTGACGATCGACCTTCTTTCAGCAAAGAAAAAACTGGTAGACAGAGAAGATTTTCTCAAAAAAGTACTACAAAACCAAAACAAAATACAAGCCCGTCAAAAATGGAGGAAACGGAAATAGTTAAAGACACTTTGCCAAACGACGATAAAAAGAACGACCAAATCGACATTCCTTGTCGACACTGCAGTGAACGACAAAAATTACTTGATCAATTAAGTCTTACGAATAATAACCTAAAGAAGGAGCTTGATACACTGCATATTACCAATAACAATCTGCAGGAGGAGCTTTGTGCGCTACGCATTACCAATGATAATCTACGGGAGGAGCTTGAGTTACTCAAAGTTACTAAGGATCAGCTACAGAAAAAGCTTGACCAATCGCACGATGCCAATTATAATCTGCAGAAGGAAAAATATGCAGAGCTGAAAGACCGTAAAAATTACACGAAAGAGGTTGATGAACTGCGCCAGGAGAATAAGAAGCTGCACGCACAGCTGGAGGAACTTGCACACTCGGGTAAGGAGCTGAGTGATATGGGTCTCCTGAACGAGGAGCTGCGAGCGGAGCAGGACAGAATGCTTCCAGAGGAGCTGCTGGTGTTGTTGTCGTCACGTGAAGAGAGTGAGACTCATAACGAGTCTCATGCTGAGGAGCTGAGTGACGTGCCGCGCACACGCTTTGTTGCCGTGGAGGAAATGGGAGAAGTGGCGCCGCGCGATATGCAGTTGTCGCCTACAAGGGAGGTAACTCAGCAGAAGGAGCAGGAGACGCCCGTGTATGCGGAGGAAAAGGAGCTGTGTGAGCTCGACCGACCGACCTTTGTGCCGGCTGATGAGCTGGAGCAGCTGCGGCGCGCCCACAAGGAGCTGAATACAGAGCTAGGTAGGGTAAAGCAGTCAAAGAAAGAGATCGAGACGATAGCAGAAACGAAGAAAGAACTTGCACAATGTGCTCACGGAATAAAGCGAGGAAAAGAAAGAATAACTCGTATCAAGAAGACGTTTAATGACGCGATTGCAAAGTTCCGTGGACATCGACGTTCTACAATAAATCCGATCCGAAAGACGGTGTCTTTTCGTAAAGAGTTGAATGAAGTACCGCGCACACGCTTTGTTGCCGTGGAGGAAATGGGAGAAGTGGCGCCGCGCGATATGCAGTTGTCGCCTACAAGGGAGGTAACTCAGCAGAAGGAGCAGGAGACGCCCGTGTATGCGGAGGAAAAGGAGCTGTGTGAGCTTGACCGA